TCGCCCATTGAAAGGGTGATAGTGGTGACCCTTTCATTCTCAGTGAAAGGTGAAACGGTGCCGGGAAAAAAAATTTGTCCGGTAATTTGGTCCCCAAAAATTGCCTGAGGAAAAAATTCTTTTGTGCCAAATTTATGCCAATTTGTGAGCAACCCTGTACCTGGGTTTACAAAAATTTTGCTCCCGTCCCGGGGACAACAATTTTTTAAGCTTTGCAAAATTTATTTTTCTGAATTGCCCTGCCCGGCCCATTGGAACCCCTTCCCTTTTAATTTTGACGATTTCGCCTCTCCGACTTGGCTCACTTTGTGGAGGGAGTTTTAGTTCCCTAGAGAGATTCTAAAAGCCGGAGTAGCAGGGCCGGCAAAAGTTACAGTCTCATTGCAGGAACGTGACATCACGCTGAAAAGAACGTGAAAAAATGTCACGTTCGTTTAAGTATTGAATCACATTCGTTTGGGTGTGAATTGGCCAAAAATAATCTTCTTCACATTTAAACGAACGTGACACTGTGCTCAAACGAACGTGACATTTTGTCACGTTCGTTTTAACGCGATGTCATGTTCCTGGAATGAGAGTGTAGTTTTCCAATCTGTGGCCGTTTTTAGGCACGAAGTAGCCTTATAGTATACCCAGGATTCAGCCGGCCCGAGATTCAATTTGTGTGGCCCTTTATGCATTTCGGAAATTTTCTATACGATTTTAATGAGACTTTGCAGACTTGTTGAACTTTGAACGCTGATTCTCATGCTGAAATCTGGTTAAAAAGTTGGTGGCCAATTTTGAGAAATTTGCTGTCAAAATCGCCGTTTCCATGGCAAAACTCGACTCGTCAAAGGGAAAAAAAGGGAGTGGGGGGAGCCGAGCCGGGGCGGACCAATAGCCGAGCTTCTTTTTGCTTCTGTACAGCTTACTCCGAAAGCTGAAATAGCACGTTCGAAATGAAAAATTTCTTTGACTGCAGGTAGACAAGATGCAACAATAGAATTGGTGTCGGTTCGCACGCAGTTTTTCGGGTAGAACTATCCAATAATACTTCTTGATCGGAGTGTTTTTGGACATGCGCAGTAGGTTTGCAACCTGTTACAGTTTAACCAACTGTAGCATTTGAAATCTGTATTAATTTTGCTCTCTTTCTTGTTTTTTCTTCGTTTCTTGCTTATGAAAATTCATATAAAACAAATTTTCAATTCTTATGTGACGACTTTCTAAAAAAATATTCACAGAAAATTAGCAAAACAAAAGTTCTTTTTTTCTGACATAAAGTTTCTCAAATATTACTTTTTTTTCTGTCAACAAGACAGTTTTGTTGTTGTTGTGATTCAGTTAGCACTAGGACCACTTCGCTCGCGACTTGCAGTGCTCATGTTCCTCGAACAAGACTCACCCGCGTTTCGCGGGTTCCCGAGTTTATGAAGTTTGTCAAACCAACCGTCGTGGTGCTGATACGTTGTAAGGGAGAACTATTACACAGAATTGAAGAAAACATGACTAAAGAACCATAGCTTTTTGAAACAAGCCAAACAATTCAACGGCAGCAACAATGGAGGGGCAGTTTTAATGCTCGACTGCTGGTGCTTTCAGCTTCGCGATTTTCGCAAGGGCGCAGCGCAGACGCCGAGAAACTAGTTGCCAACCCGTGAAAATTAATTTACTGCCTTCTTTCTGCTAAGAACATTTTAACAATGATGGACTTTAAAGATGTTCCATTGTCAGAACATTGCGGAATACATTAGCATTGGAATTTTTTGAATTTACCAGCATTTTGATTTCTATTTATTGTCAAGTTTAAATTTCGACGGGTGGCTCATCGACCACATTGGTACCACTGCTTCACAACACCACTTCTTTTCTTTCTCCACACTCTTACACATTAATCAAATTGACTTCGTGACTCCTAGGATTTCTTGAAATCGTATTTTTTTCATATTTTTTGTTGTCACCTCAGTTGCTCTTCATAAGTGATCACGATTAGAGTGCAGACCTACCCTTACCAAAACGGAAGTACGTTAAGAGTTTGGAGCCAAGAGGATATTAGTGTGCATCAGTATTGTGCCGCGGTGCTAGTTCAGTAGGCCCCAGTGCGTCCTTCGAACTTTCCTCCCGACAGTCGGTGTGCCGAAAGCATGACCACACTGAAACTGAATGGGGTCACCACCATCACCCTTTAAATGTGTGATGCAACTTCGTGGCCCACACACTTAACTTCTTACGGATACATCCTATTTGTATTACGGACATTTTTGTGCAATTGCAATTACGGATAGATTTTGCTTGTAATACGGATAAGATCATCCGTATTACAAAGAGTTTTACGTCCGTACCATACGGATATTTTCGTCTGTATGTTACGGACGTAAAACTCTTTGTAATACGGATGATTTCATCCGTATTACAAGCAAAATCTATCTGTAATTGCAATTGCACAAAAATGTCCGTAATACAGATAGGATGTATCCGTAAGAAGTTTAGTGTGCAATTTGAGGTGACGGAGTATTCCATCACCCGAAATTTGGTATCCGGCGGTAGGTCGCCCAAATTTGGGTAACGTCGTCGGCGACGCCGTGAGATTAGGTTAGGTGACCGCTATGTGCACTCTCAGCACGTTATTGACTTTTTAATCATTTTGTCAGTACTTATCCAAGTAATTTGTGCAATCATAATACGTACTTTTCCTTTTTAAAGAACTACTAAGGAGATATTAAATAATGTACTGAGAATTTCGTTTTGTACATAAAGGAAATTAGTCATACCTGGAAAATACTAAGTATTATTGCCGTTTATACGAATACGTAAGTAATGAGGAAAAAGTCAGTAACGTGCTGAGAGTGTGGCGTTGTGGCCTCTGGGTCTCACCGCGGCCTCAACGCCACATGGCGGTCGTCGTGGTGGCCCCGGAAGGACGCCATCGGTGACCTCACGGCGTCGTCGTCACCCAAATTAGGGCAACATAACGCCGGTTACCAAATTTCGGGCAATGAATATTTCGTCACCCAAAATTGCGCAACGAAGGTGCATCGCCCATTGAAAGGGTGATGGTGGTGACCCTTTCATTCTCAGTGAAAGGTGAAACGGTGCGAAATTGGTGTACCTGGTGCGAATTTGGTCCACACACTAAATGCCATGGGACTTCTTTTGTGCCACGATTTATGCAATTTTGAGCACATCCGACGCTGATACAATTTTGCTCCCGTCTGGGGACACATTTTGTCTGACGCTTGCTGCAAATTGTACTTTTACTAGACAATTTGTCCCTCCTGGCGGACACAAAATTGCATCACTATCCACGGAAAAAAAAAATATGCTATGTCAATGCCGTTAATTTATTGCCAGTTTTCACTGTAGGTCAATTCACAGCGTTTACTGTGATCTGCTCACGCGATTTACTGATTTTGTTCGGGGTGTTGACTGTGATCTGGTCCACAGTAAACACTGTGAGTTTGACGCCGCTGAGCACCGAAGTACTGCAAATCAGGCTCCAATTCACGGCTTTTACTGTGGCCAGATCACAGATCACAGTGAACGCCGTGAACTAGTTCACAGAAAACGCCGTGGATTGCATAACAGCAATTGGTAATAAATTAACGGCATTGACAGGACATTTTTTGTACAGTGTCGGATGTGCTTAAAATTGCATCCTTCATGGGACAAAAAAAGTCCCATGACATTTAGTGTGCACCTCAGATGCGCTTCGCACTTCCCCATCACCGTTTGGCATCGGTTGGGTTGGAAGCCAACCTCTATTGCTACGTTCAAAATGAGCGAAGTTCTTCCCTCACTTAGATGTTTAGGATTGCAAAAAAGTTGAAACTTTGACATGATTGCCTAACACTTCATGTTTGAAGATATTTTGACGTTTGACCTAAAACAAACACCTTCGAATATTTTGAAAAGTTTGTGTTTCTGGCACTTCTGTGTCTCTGACACTCCGGCTGCGTTCATAGCTCGGTTCAAGGTATAACCGGCTCTCTTACTGCATCCCTCTAAGTTGAACGGTTTAGACATTGGGACCGAGAAATCCAGCCGGAGTGTCATACACTTACGCACACTGTGAAAGTTTGTTGTCACTTAATGACAAAAACGTGAATGACATTTTCATCACTTTGAAATGATGACAATCTCGTCACAAATTGGTGACTTTTTCATCAAAGCTCCGATACTTGTTGCATGGGCGTGACAAAAATGTCATAAATTGACTTGATGACACCCTTGTAAGGAAAATTAGCCTTGAGATTGTCATCAAGTGACGACTCAAATTTTCACAGTGCAACTGGCAGTCACAGTGGTTCTTTTGAGGGCCAAAGGAATTCTGGCCACTCTACTTATTGGTGTCCCGGACCTTCGACTTCGGGCATGGGCAATCCCGAAGTCGAAAGTCCGGGACACCAAGTAGGCTCGTTCGTGGCCATATCATCATTTGGCCTGGAAAATGTGAAAACTTCACTGAGAAGAATGGGTCACCACCATCACCCTTTAGATGGGTCTTGCAACTTCGTTGCCCAATTCTGGGTGACGAAATGTTCATCACCCCAAAATTTGGTAACCGGCGTTAGGTCGTCCTCAAATTTGGGTAACGTCGACCACGCCGTGAGGTCCCCGATGGCGTCCTTCCGGGGCCACCACGATGACCGCCATGTGGCGTTGAGGCGGCGGTGAGACACGGAGGCTCCACGCCACAGAGCGGTCATCGGGGACCTCACGGCGTCGCCGACGACGTCACCGAAATTTGGGCGGCCTAACGCCGGTTACCACATTTCGGTTGATAAATTTTACGTCACCCGAAATTGGGCAACGAAGTTGCATCACCCATTTAAAGAGTGACGGTGGTGACAGTTTCATTCTCGGTGTTCCGACCTGCTGGGTACGATTTAATAGTCATGCTTGACACATTCGCTGCGACGGGGTTTTGGGCGGAATAGCCTAGACTGCGATGGTTTAGTTAATGACCTTCATTTTCATTGAGCACTTTCTCCCCCTAAATCTGCGAACGCTCTGCGCAGACGTCGCTGCTGTCGCTGCCGGACGACGACCTGCTGAGCGTGCTGGAGTACCTGAGCACGCCAGACCTGCTGTCCTGCCGGGCGGTGTGTCATCGCTTGCGGGACGTCGCTCTTCGGCCGGAGCTGTGGCGGCGACGCAGCTTTAACGTCGGGCGATGGCGGCCTTGCTTTGTCTTCGGGCTACGCGACCTCCCCACGAGAAGCCTCGAAGCCGCCGTCCTGCGCGTGGCGCCGTGCGCCTCCAGCCTGTCCATGTGGTTTACAGGCAACAGCCACGCGCTCGGCCCGCTGGCCGCCACGACCAGATGCGCGGCGGCCGAGCTGATCCTCGAGGTGGACGACGACCCCGCGCGGCTGGCAGCGGCCAAACTCGCGATCCGCAACCAGGCGGCGCTGGGGATGCTGAAGAGTCTGGAAGTGCGCTTCAAGGGCAACGACGGCTTTGACGACGGCCTCGCCCTCGCGGACCTGCTGGCGGAGTCCTTCTCTACCCAGGGCCTGGCCCGGCTATTCGTGAAGGTAGACTGGGAGGTGATGTGGCCCGTGGGGGCTGAGCCCGCGCCGCTGATCCCGGCATCCATCAAGGAGGTGACCCTCGAGGACGTGGACCCCCGCTTCGTGCACTGCGTGCTGCGCTCGCACGCCGCCTCGCTGCAGGCCGTGACGCTGTGGGTGGACTGCCGGGGCGTGGCGCCGCTGCTGGCCGCCATCCCCGGGCTGCGGCACTTGGTGTGCCCCGTGATGGAGGACCTGCACCTGGTGGCGAAGTGCGCGTCGCTGCGCTCCCTCCAGCTGTCCGTGACGCACTGCCCCGATGAGGCTACGTTCCAGGCCACGGCGGCCTTCCTGCGCGCCGCCACGCAACTCGAGGAGCTGGAGCTCGATCTCGTCTGGCATCATTACTCCCTCCCCTCGGAGCAGGGGCTGCTGACGGCGCTGGCGTCCTCGGGCCGCGCCGCCCTGCGGAAGCTGGGCCTCGCAAACTTTATTGAAGTCAACGTCCGCCTGGAGACGGAGCTGGCCTCGGCTCTGCCCGGACTGCCCGCCCTGGAGTGGCTCGTCCTGCCCCGCCCTGTGTCCCGGCGAGTCCTGGCCGCCATCAACCCCGGCAGTTTGCCTCGTCTTCGCGGCCTCTGCATCCCCGACTGGAGGTCCGAGGTCGGGTGCGCGCACGCCGTCATGCACGAGCCGGACGTGAGTCGCGTCCTGGCCAGCTACAGCCGCTTCTTCCTGGTCGTCAACGCCCATTTGTGCTGGGAGGAGCGGCAGTGCGAGTACTGCGCCAAGGGCTGCCACGGCGTGCCCTGGCCATCGGGCGAGTTAGAGGTGGGCTTCTACACGCACGAAGCGCCCGGCAAGGAGGCAGTGGATGGATTGAGATGGGGGGGGACTTCATGTAAGCTGTGGATCAAAGCGTGATGCGATGGCACTGTTCTCGCACTGAGCACATGAATTAGTTAATACAGGTGTGGGGAGTTCAATAGCCTTGATGTTGGTCACATGAGCTATTGCATGGCTGCCGTGTGCGCTGTGACTGACACCTTCTGGCAAGCTAATTGTTCCACCGTTAGATGTTTGAGGAGGAAAGGCTCAAATCCTTAAAGCCCGGTATGTGAGAAACTTTTCTTCTTTACGTCCTGTTCGTTGTTCATGTGAACCACTTTTCAAAGCTGTATTTTAGCGCCAACCTTTAGGCACTATCTCAATTTCGGCCACCTGGAGGGTGGTTACGTTGCCTGTGGAAAATGGGAAGTGGAATTGTTGTTTTTCTTATCCCTCCGGCTCGGTCGGTACAGTACGGTACAAATTATAAATGGAATGGTTGTTCGTTTAAGTAAATCTGCTATATAAATTAAGTGACCAGGAGCGGTGTGTATCTAAACATTTTTTTACTTGTGTTCCCATTAAATGACAAATACTCTTCGAAATCATGTCACTGCGTTCCATATGGAGGGACATATTACTTTTGTAGAAAAATCGGGTAACCAATCGATTTTTTTCAGGAAACGTTCGTTCCCTGATTTGCAGCAACGGCACGGCCGTGTAACTGGAAAATGTAGAAAAACTTGTATTTTTCTGTGTCAACATAGCGCAGTAAAGAATTTTATAAGTAGTTCAATTTACATTCAACGATGTTGCTGTTTCCTTTGTTTCCCTACCCTTTTTATTCCTGAGTGCTTGGTGGAATGAAGTATTTTTGGAAAGAATAGTTTTTGCCACACGTGAGGCGTCCTCGACAATTTTGAGGCATAACACAGCACACCTGTAAAAAAATATGAAAATTGAGAGGAGTTTTTTTTTTTTTCAAGAGAATTAGGACTAGACCCCTTCGGTTGAATTGTATGCATCTTTGGTGAGCACACACTCTTTTGAGTACACTCCCACAAACGTGTACTGAGCTGCGAATATTTTGGAACTACGGTGTGTACTGGTCGAACACGCTCTCGTTGGAGTGTTCAAAGCTTCGCAGTGTACTTATGAGTACACGCCGAATAGAGTGTGCTGAGCACACTATTTGCAGAACGACCTCTTTTTTCTGGCACGCCACACGAACAAAAACTTAACTTTCCCATTCCAGGAACGACGTTACGTTGAAACGAATGACAGGAGGTCACGTTCCTGAACACGTCACATTCGTTTGGATGTGCTCGGCAAACGCAACAGTGTACTCTCTTTAAAGTGTTCTCACAAGAAAACTGCCTTCAGCGTGCTCTCATGAGTACACTAAGGGAGGGTGGGGCAGTTTGAAACAGAATTTGGAATTTCGTTATTATAATCGTACTGTTGGTCTGTAGGCTGCGTGTTTGCACTAGATTACTAGAATGACTCGTTATCTAGACTAGAAAACGCCCGCAGACGCTCACAAGTTCGTTCAACGTTAATAATAAGGTGAAACTCCAACCCTTGCATCTGTTTCAAACTGCCCCAGGCCGGGGCAGTTTGAAACAGCTGTATGGAAGTCAACACGGACCAAGAAGAGCCGCGTACACAACTCAAATAGATTCAAATAGACTCAAATAGACGTTGCCATGCAAGTGCTGACATTTCGACGAACTTTTCCCAAAATATAAAACGTTTTTCCCAGTGATATTGCTGTGTTTCTAACTGCCCCATCCACTTCTGTTTCAAACTGCCCCAGAGGGCACCATTCCAGTTGCGCTGCTCCCCGCCGGACTTGGTAAGGGCTACGTCAGTGTCCAAGAGTGCGTTACGCTTGCCTAATAAGGTACTAAAAGGTGAATTAAAAGCGCGGGGCATGATCGCTTACTAGCGAAACCCAGACGGAAACTCCCGTGACTTCGAAATTTAAGTTTAGGCCAATTTCAATGTTACCGAAGTTTCACCTTTTTTCCAAGGCCACTAAAGAGCACCGTTGATGACCGTGTCGATCGCAAATCAGTAAGATCATGAAAATAGAAGATTGTGCACACTCACATTTCCTTCGGCAGCCCTCATTGCTTTAATACCGTAAACCGGGGTAACTTGAGACAATATTTCACGTTTTTTGGACCGTGTGTCCACAATACTTCTCTCACCAACCCGAATCCCAACTATGTTTAATTTCACGTGATAACATTTGGTTTGGACCCCATGAAGTTTTTGGGGGTCACCTAAAATGAGAGTAATGGGCCTCTAAAGTTGTCTCAAGTTACCCCGTCATTTGGGGTAACTTGAGATAAACCTAGGTTTCACTTTGCTTTTTCACAGTGTTGTTTTTGCCAGTCCATACTGATATTCTGAGGCATTTAACTTATTTTCAATGAAAAGTACTACTTGTGGAATATATTAGAACATTTCTGATCCTTACATTAAGATTTTTTCATTTAAGTTACATTTGGTAATTTGAGGGATAACGGCACTTCAGAAGCGCAACGATTCTCTCATTTCACATCCAACCCTGACACCTGTGAAGACATTTTTCGTTATTTCTACGTACACAAGTCCATTCCTGCAAAGGTAAGTATATACTCTTAGTCAATTTTTAAAATTTGCTCAAAATCCCCTAACTATTTTAACAGTTGTTTTTCTTAAAAAAAAAAAAACCGACGGTTCTTGGGCTATAAGTTGTACGATTTCAATGGCATTTAGCTCGTTGGAAAGGTCCCATCTTTTGAGACTTCAAGATTTATTATGTCTCACCTGGTCCGTGAGTAGTTGAGAAAACACTCCAACTATATATCGACTTGGGACCCTCTACACTGTCTAAAAAAGTGATTCCCGATCAAATGCGGCTTAGTTTTGATCTTAGAACGGAGAGGTCCGTTACTTTAAACCACCCTGTAGTACATGGAGGTGCCAGTGTCAAGGGACGCCACTCAACTTCCGTCAAATTCAATGAAATTTGGTGTCTCAAGTTACCCCGCACAGTTACCATTTTCTATAAAAGTCAGTATTACCTGATGAATGATGTGTTTCCCTCAAAACCAATGCTGCATTTAGAATGTTGAAATAACAGGGTTGAAAGATACCATGGTCATTTAGGTCTCAGCAAGACGTGTCTCGAGTACCAAGGGAGACTTGTAACACTTCTCTAAAATTGTTAAATTTACTAAAATTGAAAAATCGTTATAGAACTGACCAGCTTGGTCCTAACCCGCCATTCAAACGCTTAATCGTCTTTCCAAACAAGTATGAAAAAAAGTGCTGGGGCAGTTTTGACTTCCGAATGTGCCAAGCCAGGTGGCAGCTCCAAAAAGGTGGAAAAGCTGAAGTGTCTCAAGTTACCCTTGCTGTCTCAAGTTACCCCGGTTTACGGTATTAGTGTTTGTTTCAAACTGCCCCACCCTCCCTTACTTTCAACGTGTGCTCATGAGTACACTCTCTTTGGCGTGTACACTCTAAATCTTGTACAGTGAAGATTCTTCATATTATGGTGGTGCAGCTGACTTCGTAACATACCATTGAGAATTCACTGTACCTTATAGATATTCTGACGAATTTCGTTGGTATTAAGGAGAAAATCTCCACCATAAAATGTTGGTACAGCCTTTCATCGCAAGAAATTTACAGTGTACTCACGAGCTACACTCTTATGAACGATTACTCAGCTACACTGAGAATGAAAGAGTCATGGTCATGACAAAAATTTTGTGTGAGGAATTCTTTAGTACCCAAATTTGGGTGAGGAAAGTTTCCTCGCCCAAATTTGTTTGAGGAAAGTTTCCTCACCCAAATTTGGGTCATAATACTATGGAGCTATATATAGGGAGCTGATACACCCTTTCTCACCCAAAATTGGGCGAGGAAGCTTTCCTCGCCCAAATTTGGGTGAGAAAGTAAACCTCGCTCAAAATTGGGTATTGATCATGACTTTTTCATTATCAGTGTACATATTTTTCCATGGGAACTACGGTGTGTACTGATCTGAGCACACTCTCGTCGGAGTGTACTCAGCTAAGCAAACACTCGTTAGAGCGTACTGTACACACCGCTGAGTTTGCAGAGTGAACGCCGCTACACCTGCAACACCCGGTCCCGCGGTTTCGGGTACGAGTGGACAATCCTTTGCACCATCCCTGAGCGACGATTCACGAATATCGGCGGCCGGCGCATCCAGATTTGGCCCGGAAAACTAAGAGTGGTACTTCAAATTTGTCCATCAGTGTCTTGTTCTCTTACAGAGTGACCGAATCATTACGCGAGTGAATACCCCAGCCAGCGGTGGCTGGACGAAACCGAGGCGGTATTGCACTCGCGTAGGTTGGGTTCCTCTGTAAGGGCGCCTCCTTGTAAATCCATTCAACCCAACACTCAGGAATTAGTAAGATTGACGCCAAGGAAATAAAAAACAAACACGTTTGGGGTTAAATTTTACTATCAGTAAATCTATATTTCACATGTTGTTGACACAGTTAAGGAACATGTTTTCAATAGAGTCCTTTCCACATAATAAACATTGAATTCTAACAAATTGGTTTTTGATCTAGATTGATTTGAACTGAACATGTAATGTCCCCACATAAAATAGTGACACGATTTCAGGGAGTATATGATTCAGCGGGAGACACCACGCATACCTTTCATTCCGAAATTTCTGAATCAAGTTGGCCGACTGAAAACTGTGGATCACATGATCAGGCTTCCAGCACACATAGCATAGAGGACCTCCACGAAGATAGAGGGGGCATTTCAAGGTTAAGAAATGCTGGTGCGCTATACACGAGCATAGAAGAATCGCATCACACTTTCATCCACGTCTCGCATGGAAACCCCCAGCTCAATCCATCCACTGCCTCCTTGCCGGGCGCTTCGTGCGTGTAGAAGCCCACCTGAAACTCGCCGGTTGGCGTTGGCACGCCGTGGCAGCCCTTGGCGCAGTGCTCGCACTGCCGCTTCTGCCCGCACAAAAGGGCGTTGACGACCAGGAAGAAGTGGCGGTAGCTGGCGAGGATGCGGCCCACGTCTGGCTCGTGCATGGCGGGGTGCGCGCACCCCCTAACCATCAAGTAGGAAATACGAAGGCCGCGAAGTCGGGGCGCACTGCCGGGGTTGATGGCGGCCAGGACGCGCCGGGGCACAGTCCCGGGCACGACGAGCCACTCCAGGGCGGGCAGTCCGGGCAGAGCCGAGGCCAGTTCCATCTCGAGGCGGTCGTCGAGTTCAGTGAAGTAGAAGACCAGCTTCCGCAGGGCGGCGCGGCCCGAGGACGCCAGCGCCGTCAGCAGCCCCTGCTCCACGGGAACGGAGCTCTGGCCGTAGTATTCGAGCTGCAGCTCCTCGAGGTGCGTGGCGGCGCGCAGGAAGGCCGCCGCGGTGGCCTGGGACGCAGCCTCCACGGCGCTGTCCTTGCAGCGCTTCACGGTCAGCTTGAGGGAGCGCAGCGACGCGCACTTCGCCACCAGCGGCAGGTCCTCCATCACGGGGCACTCCAAGTGCCGCAGCCCGGGGATGGCGGCCAGCAGCGGCGCCACGCCCTGGCAGTCCCCCCTCAGCTTCACGGCCTGCAGCGTGGCGGCGTGCGAGCGCAGCACGCGGTGCACGAAGGGAGGGTCCACGTTCACGAGTTCCACCTCCTCGATGGACGCCGGGATCAGCGGCGCGGGCTCAGCCCGCTTGAGCCACTTCATCTCCCAGCGTAACTCCACGACTAACCGGGTCAGGCCCTGGGTAGAGAAGGCCTCCGCCAGCAGGTCCGCGAAGGCATCGTTGGCCTTGAAGCCCTCCAGCGCCGCCTGGTTGCGGATCACGAGTTTGGCCGCTGCCAGCCGCGCGGGGTCGTCGTCCACGTGGAGGATCAGCTCGGCCGCCGCGCATCTGGTCGTGGCGGCCAGCGGGCCGAGCGCGTGGCTGTCGCCTGCAAACCGCATGGACAGGCTGGAGGCACACGGCGCCACGCGCAGGACGGCGGCCTGCAGGCTTCTGGTGGAGGCGTCAAACTCCATGTCAATGCTGCGTCGCCGCCACAGCTCCGGCCGAAGAGCGACGTCCCGCAAGCGACGACACACCGCCCGGCAGGACAGCAGGTCTGGCGTGCTCAGGTACTCCAGCACGCTCAGCAGGTCGTCGTCCGGCAGCGTCAGCAGCGACGTCTGCGCAGAGTTAGAAGGGAGAGGTAACGTTAACGCTAACATGAAAGCAGATGATACTAATGAGAATGTTTACTTTAATAGTAAACGGTGGTATAAATTTGCCACGATTAATACTGGTAAGATATCACTTAATTTAAAAGAGAAATCACTCGAAGCTCTTTCGGTGACATATTTCTTACGCATGCACTCAAGACTCCACCAATACGGCCGCAATACGGACGGTTTGGTGCAAACGTAAGGTGCGGACGTAAAACTCTTTCTAATACGGATGAAATCATCCGTATTACAAGCAAAATCTATCCGTAATTACGATTGCACAACAATGTCCGTAATACAGATAGATGTATCCGTAAGAAGTTCAGTGTGTGTTTATATGCCCTACCCAAAAACACCAACGTGGCTTCCAGGCTCGGCGTATTTACATAATGGTGACAGGGTGGAAGGTTTACGCCCTTATTCTGCGTAAGGCATGAATTAGGCTTGAAATGTTGTTAAAATTGAGTGAAACCTAAAAGGGATCCGAGAGTAAGAATGTAAGGCCCTGGAAACCTGACAGTGTGCCGGGGCTACATTGCGCGCAGTTAGCAGACAGAAGAAGCGCGAGCGCGTGACATTTTAATCGAGAGCAATCAATGGTTTCGGCAGACGACTTACTGCACTGCACACTAAATGTTATGTCCAATTTTGTACGAAACATCAGTTGTTGGTGCCCGCGTACTTTTCATACAACTTTTGTACGAAAAACTGAAAATTTCTCACAATTTTGTGCGAAACCGCGTTCACATTTGTACGAAAAGTTCGTGTGCACAAAATACTGTCATGTCTCGTCCAAATTGGTGCGAAAACATTTAGTGTGTGAGATACATGCCACTGTACGGTACCATACACTGTACGGTCGGACTTCCGGTTCCGCACGGCTATGCAGCTCTCTCTCGACTTGCCCAGCAGCTTTGCGTGTCTGTAGACGTACAGGCGATTTAAAAATCGTAAGTCCGAAATGACCCAGCGACTTAGCCTGTCTTGGTTTTCAGGAAGTACACAGCAAAAGCTTCATAATACGAAGAAAACGAAGGCATTGTAAACTCCGCGACGACGCAAAATACTTCGTGTAATATGAATAAGCATTTCTTCATAACACGAAGCAATTCTCCAATGCCTTGCTTCTCTTCGTAGGTGCGAAGCAAACGATTGGTAGACTTCGTTGAGTTGAACTGAGAGCTTGCAAAATGCACGGTCCGTTTTAGTCCATCCGCAAAGCATGAAACGATTCACGAACTTCCTGCGAACAACGGACCCGGCGGCTGAAGTCGCCTTACCTCTTCGTTTGGTCCCTGCAACGGGACTTCTTCCTTCGCCATGGTTTGGCCGTCCGCAGCAGCTCTTGGTGACTCCCGCAAGGACTCCATGACCGTCAGGTTCCGACAGTGGTCGAGGATGAAGTCTCGCTGGGAAAGCGCTTCTAGTCTTGAGTGCGGCCCACGCAGGATGAAGCGGTGTCGAAACTGTAAAAGTGCCAGTGAAGGGGCGAAAATTAAAGGGAAAAAGGGGGGGGGGGAATCCTAGCCAGCGTAATGATATGCTGGACACTTAAAACATGAGATCTCATCCCAGAAATGGAAAGCACATCTCACAAATTCCATCCGTAATACGAATGTAAGCGTACGTAAGTAAATATGCCGTACGCTGCGCGAGGGGGGGACCTGGGCCTGCGTAACGCCACGTCCTATGGTGATACTAGGGGAGCGAAAAGTGTCCAACAGTGCGTGACGCAATGAACGGATGGACTCTAATGCAAGCGCGGGCGGATCCAGAAACGAGGGGCAAAGAGGACAAAAGGGTACCCCTGGGTCATTCCATGCCAACTCGACAGGGCTCGGACCGACACCTTGTCGGAGGCCATCGCCATAGTGGGCGATTGTTGGCCTTATGGTACCATTTGAAGACCCCAACTCAGTTTTTCGAAATCTGCACCGGGCTCCGAACTACGGCCTGATGAAGTTTTTCACATACATGACGACATGGGTGCACTAAAATGCAATTATCTCGGCAACCGTTCGTCGTATCTCAAATCCGAGACCACCGTTGGAAAGAGGAGAAAAAACTACACAAAAAAAATTTTTTTTTGGATTTTTTTCGAAAAAAAAATGTGAAACTTCAAAAAAGGTGTAACTTTTACAGTGTGATATCTCAAAAACCCATATTTTAAAATCTCTCAAAAAATTCCAAAATCTTCCTTTATTTATCATCTAAAAGAAAAGCTCAACCACCCAAAGTATTATTCTTCGTTTGGGAGAACGAGCAATTCGCGTGAACCCCTGCATACCCCTTTTCCCCTATTTTTCCCCTTAAGTGGTGCGCCGGCGTGGCTAGGGCCACCCCTCACACCCTGGCACTGGCGGAGGTGCTGCCCTTCGTCATGGAATACCGAACCACAAACCGGGTACTTTCAATCATGGTAAAGCGCCTGCCAGGTAGGCAGTGGGAGCCACGCAGCGCAGCCCGGTCTGACGGGCAGGCCTACCTCCCAGGCGCGCCCTTCCCTGGCGCTGCCAACGGTGCTGCCCTCTGTCGGGGGATGGTAAACTGCGGGATCGGGCCCAGGCAATTGGCAGGCGTTTGGCAAGCCTGCTTTAAATAACAATATTCCGAAGTTGGCAATACTGGAGAGCGGAGGGGTCTCTGGGACTGTTTTGGACGTCAACACGGCAGTTGCCGCCGTTGCCTAGGCCTGTGGGGGATCGTAGAATCTTTGTGAATGTTTTGCTGTGGTATGTATTTCTAAACCTTGTTTTGGGTCTGTTTGGGTCAGTTTCAATGGTAACTTGCTTAACTCCATTTGTTCTCTCTTGTAGGGTATTCCCTCTTATCAATATGGCTCCCAGTGCAAAGTGCTTTCTTCACCATTTGGCACATGATCCAAGGGGACCGCGTCACTTGAGCGGGGTTTTCACTTGAGCGGGGGCTTCATCTGAGCGGGTTTTCGTTTGAGCGGGGGCTTCGTTTGAGCGGGTTTTCGTTTGAGCGGGGCTTCGTTTGAGCGGGGGCGGCAGTTGAGCGGGGGCTTCGTCTTAGCGGGGCCTTCAGTTGAGCGGGGCCCGACTAAAAACGCATCCTTCACTTGAGCGGGGCCTTCATTTGAGCGGGGGACCTTCGACTGAGCGGGGGACCTTCGTTTGAGCGGGGCCTTCACTTGAGCGGGGCCTTCGCTTGAGCGGGGCCTTCGTTTTAGCGAGGCCTTCACTTGAGCGGGGCCTTCGTTTGAGCGGGGCGTTCGTTTGAGCGGGGCCCTTCGTTTGAGCGGGGCCTTCGTTTGAGCGGGGCCCTTCGTTTGAGCGGGGCCTTCGTTTGAGCGGGGCCCTCTGTTTAAGCGATCCCGCGCAGCCAGCGCTACGCCAGCGCTCCCTGTGGTTGACTCGCAAAGCACTGGCTAGCCTCGCTGTATGCACGTCCCTTGCTCGTATGACAAATTGTTCTGCTCGCGGCGAAATGCAAACGGAACCGGTAGAATAGTTCATCAAATAATTTGC